CGATGCCAGGAGCCCCTAGTAGCGTCCTTGCTCCTAGTAGCGATGCCGCAAACAAGATTAAATTATCGAAGGCAAATGATGTTCATTTAAGGAAACCGACGTGAAAAATACCAGGCTAGACGCTAGCTGGTAGCCGCAACATGCCGCAATCAAAGACTTTCCACAGCTGTTCATCCTGAGTATACTAACACACATGACATGGCCAGGCCAGGCCATCATCGCCATCATCAAGTATCACAGGGAGTATGGGCAAAGGGAACTAATGTGAAAGCTTGTGCGTTGCAGGTGTAACAGCATGTTGAAATACCCCATGGTGCTAAGAACTTTACATTCCACAATTTTGAGAGTGACACCTTGCATGGTCTTCAGCGCGAAGTATGTTTGATATGTTTGTGTAAGCGTTTCTCGACCCCCCCTGTGATGACCAGCATTGCCAGCTCTGTCAGAAGGTCAGCTTGAGGGGGGCAGCTGTCGCTTCACCCGAGCTGCCTCCAGGCGGACTCAAGCCTTCAGGAGCCAACACCAACGCCAAGCTTGGCACCTCATTCTCCACAGGTCACCCTTTCCGAACAGGACTGGCAAGCCATCCCGGGAAACGTCGATGATCACAAGGACTACCCCGTGTCGAGCGTGCCGAGCTGCCGCAGTCCGGATAGGCCAAGCGAGACTGCGCGGCTCGGTCGCAAGACTTGGAATCGAATTTCTGGACACTCATCGTGCAAAGCCTGCTTCATGCTCTCCATTGCTCTCCAAAATCTTCTTGCCGGCCTTCATGCCATGGCCCCTTTTTTCCTCCTCCAACTTTGCAAAAAGCGTGGCACAGGGTGAAGATGTTACCCTGCCAATGAAGTTGCCCATTGCCCAAAACCAAGTTGCTACGGACGATACGCGATCCTTCCATCTGTGCGTCGCGCTGTTTCTTTCCGTTCCGACGGCCACGCGTCCAGATGGCCACCGCGCATCGGGAAAGCCACACGACGAACCGAGGGTGGAGGGGGATCTAACAGATCGTTCGGCCTCCCCCTCCGTCGACCTTCCTTCGACCGATCAGAAAGGTTCGAGGAGTCGGAGTGTCAAAGGGACGACTGAGTCGGGTACGACTCGTAGGGAATGAGGTAAGGTGGCTGAGCCCAATAGAGATTCCGGATCCAGCCACCCTCATTCTCTACGAGTCGCACCAGTCAGTCAAAGTATGTTCAAGAAACGGATCTTCTCAGAATTGGGACGTAGCTGGACCTATGGGCGCGTGCGAAAATGAGTCAATGGATTCCCTTCTCGGCAGGAACAACGGTTGGAGGATGTTGAGGGGGCCCAAGGTGCGAGATGTTCGACCGACATCCAAACGAAATTTTGAGAAGCACCCAAAAGCAATCTGTAATCTATTTAATCTGTAATAGGTTTATGAAGTTTCTGTCATAGGAAAAACACATCAAACAACCTTGCCTTTCTCTGGGGTCACTCCACTATCTGGCCAAAGCAGCAAAGGCCTACACTGTTTGCACATGTCTTTCGTCCGTGCCGAGCGGCGAAGTGCGGCAGCGAACCCTTCGAGGAGCCGGTCATGCTCTGCTCGCTCAGCCGGTCGGTCAGCCGTTGCCTCGGTGGACCCGACCCGAGCGGAAAGACGACCGACCCAACCGGGAGGGTCGCAACGGTGACCGACGAGTCTGTCCGAGTCGGTTCGCATGGTCACCGGAGCGTTCGGTTCGGCTGGGATGGATGAAACGACGTGAGATGACGGAACTGAGAACAGCATACCATGTTGCAATTCGTGTGACCCCCCCTGCAGCAGTCTGGCGCACTGTTGAGGCAACATCCAACGTTCTTGACAAGGAGCATGGATGTGGCGAAGCAAAGGGCATCGCTACGAAGGGAGCAAGGACGCTATTAGGGGCGCTCCTGGCATCGCTACTATCGCTACTATAGTAACATAGTAACAAAGGGCATTACTGTCGTAGGATTGATGATTCTCCGACCAGGTCACCCTCATGGCACAACAAATCGCAATCGAAATCGCGCTCCGAGTGGCACTTGCTGCTCGAGGCGTTTACTCCTCCGCTGCTCCTCCTTGAGCTGATTCCGCAAGTCGCCCGCCTACGGCCACGGACCGTTTCGTGGAAAACAACGACTAGTCGTGGATGAACAGATCGATTTGGTGTATTTCGCTAGTAGGTTGGAGGCCATCGCCGGCAGCAAGCTGAGTTCCCTGAGTTGCTGGACATCTCTCAACCTGTATTCAGCTGGAAGTCCAAGACATTCCAAGACACACAAAAAGGGTTCGTTGAAGAGTCCTGGACCTGTAGCGACTTTGGTGCGAAGATTCTTCGGCTTTCAGAGGGCACTTCTACCAGCAAATGGGACCTCCAACCTACTAGCGATGGCCTTCCAGGTTCTTCGTGGCAAAGTCAGACACCTGGGTGTTCAACCTGGGTGTTATCAAAAACTGCAGTCAGTTCACACCCGCCCCACAGGTTGGAAGATGATGAAGATGGTAAGTTTCCGACTTGCACTCAGATGGAGAGGGAACTGCCCAGGACCATTTCCTGCCTGTCTGTCCTGGGTGGTCTACGCTACTTTTCGTAAAAATGCCGGCGCCGAGATCCAGTTTCTGCTCAATTTGGCTTCAACCTGAAACACCTCACTCTCTCAAGAGAGACCAAGACCAACGATGTCGACCGAAATCACGTATCACGTCGGTCACTCCGACAAAGAGTTGCAACCCTCAAAGGCATCAACTCCAATGTCTGTCACAGAGTCTGGAATGGTCACGTTCACCAAAGAGCTGCAACTGTGAAAGGCACCATTTCCAATGTGGGTCACAGAGTCTGGAATGGTCAAGCTCGTCAAAGAGCTGCAACTCTGAAAGGCACCATTTCCAATGTGGGTCACTGAGTTCGGGATGGTCACATTCACCAAAGAGCTGCAAATCTGAAAGGCATCATCTCCTCTTCGCCATGGCTCAAGGACCTTGACTTATTTGGCTTTTACCTGATGGCTTATTTTGCTTGAGTCCTTGACGAGCAGTCCATGATCATGGGCACATGGACATGGCTTCTTCGCTGGGGTGAGTCCGACACCAACCACAGCGTTGCGATCTGATCAGAGTTGTTCCGAGAAATTGGAGCTTCGGACACGGACAAATCCAGCTGTGCACCCGGAACGGCTCCGGAAGGGCTCCGACTCCGTTCGACGTCTTCTTCGGCGTCCAGTTACGTCAGGTCCCAGGTCTACGTCAGACTCCTTTCTATTGACAAAACTGATTGCCTAACTGGAATTTTCACCCGCCCCACAGGTTGGAAGATGATGAAGATGGTCAGTCTACGACTTGCACTCAGATGGAGAGGGAACTGCCCAGGACCATTTCCTGTCTGTCTGTCCTGGGTGGTCTACGCTACTTTTCATAAAAATGCCGGCGCCGAAATCCAGTTTCTGCTCAATTTGGCTTCAACCTGAAACACCTCACTCTCTCAACAGAGACCAAGACCAACGATGTCGACCGAAATCACGTATCACGTCGGTCACTCCGACAAAGAGTTGCAACCCTCAAAGGCATCAACTCCAATGTCTGTCACAGAGTCTGGGACTGTCACATTCACCAAAGAGCTGCAACTGTGAAAGGCACCATCTCCAATGTGGGT